ATACATGTGTCACCATCCAAAAAGGAAATACTCTGAAACTGTCAGTGTCTTTTAGGCTAAGGGGATTATAATCAATGTTTTTATTTCTTCTTATCTTTCATTATATAGCACATTCTACTGTAAAGTTGTATAAGCAGAAAGAATAATGATATAGGTTATGTTTTTTTAAGGAAATAAGGAAATAAAAGATTTAAGACAATGAAAAAACTCAATATATTTGTATCAGTGAAGTTGCCATTTCCTCTGTGGGGTGAACTTAATCATATAGTGGCTAATGATAGCTATACTGTTTTTCTAGTAATGAAAAACAGTTTACCTACATATTGAACATTAAAACTACTTGAGATTAAGTATTAAAACCTCAAAGTATAGATATATAAAACCAATAAAATAAAGCATATTCTAACCTCGATACTGTCCTTATACTTGGATTGTACCATGGCAATAAGCTTTTCCTCTGAATGGATTTTTTGTAGCACTTGGTTGTATGTATTTAAAACGATCTCCTTGTCTGCATCACCTTGCTCCTGAATGAAATCACACACGGAAATGTACACAAAGGAGTATCCAAAATAGTTAAAATTTTCAATAACAATGGGTAAAATTAAAAATAATGGCTTTAACAAATTTCTGTATCCATTTTAAAATACTTCTTAAACACAAATATTTTTCTAGAAAGAGAGATAGATGTCAAAGATGTTCATACGGAAATTTTATTTTCATTACATTATTATTCCTAAAGCTGTCTGGAGTGAAGGGAAATAAGTGATATTAATCTGTTAAATTTAAGAACTAAAAATATATAGAACTTCAACACTTTATTTTTAGAAATCATCTATTAACAACCACTTCTAAAATCAACTCTGATGAAACCATTCAGGTAAGAACTATTTGACAATAGGGAAATACAGTAATGCATATGTATTTTTTAATGCTAATCTGAATAAAATCCCAAAAGTGAAAAGAAGCAAGTAAAATGAAGAACATAACCACTGAGACATTGGTAAGCATCCTAGGAAAACTGGGAAAGAGTCCCAGTGAGCAATATTAACTATATTAACTATAAAATGCTCTTTTGAGGAGCTACACTAATTTTTAGCCTGACACAGCAATAGCGAATATACACAACAGAGAAAGGGAGCTACTAATCCATTTTGTGTATCCATTTACAGGGCTCTCCCAGATTTTATTTCAAGTTTTCACAAACTCTGAAGAGTCTTTTCTTATAGTCATTGGGTATGATGGACTCAAGAATCAAATGATACAGAAAACTGATACACTCAGATTAAGAGGAATCTTTCTAGAATTAAACATTATTTTTTTAATGTAAAATGCCCTATTAAAATGAAAATACCACCCTGTGGAAGAATAAGACTTTTCATTGTGTTTGGATTAGAATTTGACAGTGTTACTATTTCAAACAGGCTGCCTATAAGAAGACCACTTAATACCAATCTTACTACTTTCTAACCAACAACAGAAACCATACTGATTCAAAGAAAGCAGTAAGAACATCAATACTCACAACCAGAGATATCTCCAGCTCTTTGCAGACATTTGACTCAGTCTTCTCAAGGATTTCATCAATATTACCAATTGTGTCTTCAGAAGTCAGTGATTCTTCCACAGACAAGTCAAAAGCCTCATTTGAAAAAATAAAAATATAAACTATTTCATTAATTATTTCAATTAGTATTGTGCCCTTATACCTGGAACATTAGACTATGTATTGGGTCATGTGGCAGAAATAAGGATACATAAGATAAAGGACTAGCTTCATAAAACTTATGCAACAAAAAGGTAAACACAGATTTTTAACATAATTAGTAGTTAAGAGAGGTGAGAGGACAAACACAGATGAAAAGTATGGGGGAAAACAGGCACATGACCATGACTTTTTGG